GCACACAGTTCGAACTGAATCTATTCTTCCACGTAACAGACCTTGATGTCTGAAGCAGAGAATAATACTGAGCAGATTAGCATTCCCTGTCCCTTGATGATTTTGTTTATTTGTATCCTCATATACATAGCTAAAGCTGTAAAACTGCCCCCCAGAAATTTTTATTTGAATCTATAAATGACACTTTTATTACTTAGCTACTCGAAGCAATTATGGTATGATAATAAGGGATGCATTAGGTCCTTTAAAAAAGCAATAATGCATTCTGACAATATGGCATTTTTTAAAGATTTAATTAATTTATTTTTAGAGAGAGAGGAAGGAAGGGAGAAAAAGAGGGAGAGAAGCATCAATGTGAGGTTACCTCTCACGCCCCTCTTTCTGGGGACCTGGCTCGTAGCCCAGGCATGTGCCCTGACTGGGAATTGAACCAGCAACCCTTTGGTTCACAGGCCAGCACTCAATCCACTGAGCCACATCACCCAGGGTGGGATTTTTTAAAAGTATAAAAACACAACATGAACTTCTTTAGTTAAAGATCAGTTAACTACTATTAATGAACTTATATGAAGACTTAAGTAAAAAAGTCAAATTATCAGTGTCAAATATACATACATATGTTTGAAAAAAAATGTACCTATTAGGCACAGCAATAGTCTGGTCACTTAAAAGGCAGTAAAGCGTACTGAAATTCCTCCTGTACGTGTGGATGATAAAAATCCCAGAAGCCCTTTGTCCTGTAACTATTTTACCCACTCCAAAGTGAAGTAAGCCCCACCCACTGGACTTGGGCATTCCAGGAACAGGAATTTGACTTGCCCTGCTCAGTTATCATTTACATATTATAACCCTATTGGGTTCATAAGACACTGTTGAGGAGCTAAAATTCCTTAACAGTCAAACCAGCTACATGTAACGCTGAACTAAAAGTGTTATAACCAAAAAATATTCATAGCAGGATACCTATTTCATGGTGTTGTTCATCTTACACGTATTCTTTCACTTATTCATTTATTTAACATCTAATTGCTGAGCTCGGACCATGTGCCAGGCCCTGCTGAGGCCCAGGGCCTGCACACACGGACCCACTGCCGCTCCTGCGGAGCAGTGGGCCTGCTCGGGGTGAGACAGTTGACAGACGAACTCCCAACGCAAGGTGGGGCCGGGTTACATCAGAAACAGACCCTGATGATTCAACTGGGAGAAAGTGGGGGACAGGCTGCTAAACTGTGAGGTCAGGGAACGGCAGACAAGAGTGCCAGCAGTGACACATTGAGAGTGGGGAGGGGGGAAGGTGGGGTGGGGTGGGGAGAACGGGAGATAAACTCAGAGAGGCCAGCCGAGTCCCAGCCCTGCACAGCTTCAGGCTACCAAGACGAGTTTCAAGTTTATCACAAGAACAATGGGAAGATCTTGGAGGGTTTTTAAACAGAGGAGTGTCCCCATCTAATTTGTTCTAAAGATCACCCTTGAGGCCAAATTTTGGCAGTTAAAGTGGATAAGAGGAGAGCAATTAGGAGACGTGTTAGTGATTTTGGGGTGCGATGAGGGTGGCTACGCAATGAAGAGTGGACGATTAACACAGGGGATGTTTTGAAGTTAGGTCTGATAAGGCAAAATGAGGGATTAGATAGGGGAGGGGTAGTAAAGGCCAGGGGAAGCTCCAGGCTGTCTTGATGCCACGTGCTGGGTTGGAGAAATACTTAGTGGAAGCTGAGGGGCAGTGGGAGTAAAGCAAGAGTCCAGGGTGAGTGGGGCCACATTAACTTTGAAATGTGTATTAAAAGCCCAACCAAATATGTCAAGGAGGCAGTTGGGTATAAAAATCTGGAGCTCCTTGGAGAAGGCTAGATTTACAAATTTGTTGGTCGCCGGGTTATTGCTAATAATTGAAGCTTTAAGGTTGGATCTGGCTAGAAAGTGTAATTGGAGTAGAGGCCCTAGGACCCAGCCCTAGGGCACCCCACCACTGAGAGTTTGAGCAAAGAAAGCCAGCCAGCACAGGAGGTGGAGGCACCGCAGCCGAAGAGTTTGGAGGAAAATCAGAGAACAAGGCATCATGGAAACCACAAATACAGGCCATTCAAGGACAGAGTGCTCTACTCTATCAAATGGTGTGAAAACCTCAAGCCAAGATAAGGACGGAAACATGACCACTACATTTGGTAAAAATGGAGGACATTGGTCACCCAGAACAGAGGTTTTAGTGAGTTCTGGGGTTGGAAGTCTAGGAGGAGTCAACTGAGGCAAGAACAGGATGGGAAAATGCTGAGACATTCCTTCTGGCTACTGTGAAGGGCAGAGAAAAATGGGGTAGAATCTGGAGAGGGATAAGGAGTTAAGGGAAATATCAGAGTAGGTACCAGTGTGAATGAGATTGATCCAATGAGGAAGGAAAAACTGGAGGTGGAGAAGAATGTTTTAGAAGAAGGAAGAGGGGATGGTATGCAGGGAGCAAGTTGAGACACCGTCCTCAGACAAGGATGGGAACGCTCCGCCCACTGCAATAGGAGGAACGTCTCGGAGTGTGAGTTCACACACAAGTAGGCCAGTACGTTCTGAAGTGGATGCATGGTTACTTTGGGACTAGACATAGAACACAAACATGGCGTATGATCTCAAAGCTAGTGTACTTCAATTACACAGAATAATAATGGTAACATCTATTGCCACCTTAGACAAGTTTAAGGTAGTATAGAGAGGGCTGTGAGGGTGTATCTTAGACACTGCTTTTGCCCAGTTAAAAATCTGATTCACCAGTTTCTTCCCATTGCATCCCTGTGCACTTCAGATCTGTTACACACCATTTGGATCGTTTTATGATGCAAGTTCCTCCTGTCAAGAATACAAGTTCCGTCCTACTGCCTAGTCCTCTCTGATTTCCCAGTACAATCAGGACTCACTCATTCTGTGTTCATAGATCTTGTCGTCTCAAACAGAGACAAGGATGGGGCCTAGTACTTTACAATAAAATATCATTGTCTCTCCCACTGTGAAAAACCTAGTATTAGCTATAAAGTAGGCAATTAAATTCTTGCTGACCAATTTACGTTTTCAGAGTTGAATGGCTAACAAAAAGTTTTATGTGGCAAATCTTTGGTTAGCAGAATATAAAGAATTCCTAATGGCACCTGCTGGTTATTGCCTCTAGACACTGAAATTATGCACCCATTGTCTTCTTTTTTCTTTTTAAAGATTTTATTCACTTATTTTTAGAGAGGGAAGGGAGGGAGAAAGAGAGAGAGAGAAACATCAATGTGCGGTTGCTGGGGGTCATAGCCTGCTACCCAGGCATGTAACCTGACTGGGAATCGAACCTGCAACACTTTGGTTCGCAGCCCACGTTCATTCCACTGAGCTACACCAGCCAGGGCTCAATTTTCTTCTTTACAATACTATTCAATTAGTTTGTCTGGAGAAAAATGTAGAATGTATGTCAGTCAAAAGCATACTAGGAGTTAAATACAAGCTATCTTCCTGTTAAGGTGTGCATCCACTTTCTTAGGGGAAAAGCTTTGGCCTAAAAAAATAAAAGTATTCAAGTGCAAGAAGCTTTAAGGAGAATGCAACATTAAGGATTGAGGAGTACCCAGTGCTGCTTGTTTTCTGTAGCATAATATGAATTTGAAATCAATTTGGTAGTCTCCTTAGTGAAAAAATATTATTAAGAGAATACTTTCCCATACAGCCTGTTCTGCATTGTCTTAGATCAAAGGTTTCTTCAGAACAGACTGAAAGCTTAGCAGATTTTAATTATCTAGCTTTCCAGGCTGTTAAATGTGAAGAATAAGTTTAATTCCAAATTTAAGTCCCAATTTTCAAGCTAGTTATAGCTGCTTGGATGTTCTTATATTTAAATCAAAATGCAACTATCCCTCACATGTATTTTTCTTTTAAGAAGTGATTGTATTATCAGACAATGCTGCCCTTTAATTTTATCCAACAGGTTACCATGGGACATTAACAAATTAACAGTCAGAATCGCATTGAACCAGAGGGCTCATGAACCACACACGGCAGTCAGCGAGCTTCAAGGAAGGCGGTGATGACAGCCGCTGTAAAACTGTGTCACTCTACAAAGTATCTGCCGATAGAATGAACTGTTCCCTTTTCCTGGGTCCTATGTAAATTAATAAAATAATATCTAGTGATAGATATCAAGAGACTTAGAATTTTAAACTCTATGAAAACCTATACCAAAAACATCATTAGTGGTACTTTTTCATTGGGATCCCATAGTCCTAGACAATACTAATCTTTTCAAGGCACTTTTTCCTAAATTGTTTTAATTGAATCATCTAATGAACTCCATAAGATGCATGTGCATTTTTAACATTTTCATTTTTCAATGCTTGTATCTGATGATCTTATAACAGTCACCCAGTCTATAGGTAAGAAACATAAACCTTTTAGCTATTGTTCTAAGTTTCTATGTATTTCTTACTAACCTACATGAATTTTTATAGTTTTTACTCACACCCTAAATTAGGTTCTAACTAGTGGTAAAATGGCGAAGTTTACATTGCTGATTTAATAAATAAATCCAGACAATTTGGAATTATTTTAAAACCAAGCAATAAACTATGATCCATTCATTCTTTTAGTGGGTTATTGGTGGGGTGGGGTGGGGGTTTTTTTTAATCACCAGGAGAAAAAATATATGAATCTTTCTCTTCAAGCTCTTTTCTCCCCCATGGAGGCAACACACCTTAAAATTGAGGTTAATGAGCAATTAATGGCACAGACTCAACTAAAATACTGCTAATGTGACAGTATAGCATCTCGGTAAATATGAGAATTCTGAGAGCCATACAATTAAAGACTTTGATATGTGTAAGATCAATGGACATGACTTATCACTATTTAATATGAGCTTTAATTTTTAAATGCCATGTTCCAGTGAAAAGGTGTACTACTGCACAGGAAAATTGAAATTTCAATAGAGTCAAGACAAAAGAAACAAACTTTACATTAAAGTACCTTTAAGAGGTTATACTTACGCAGCAACCTCCTCTTTTGACAACCCTTTGAAATTCACCTCCAGGTAATGATCTATGTCCTCTTTTTCTTTGATCAATTGAGACCTAAATGAAACGGAAAGCAATAATAAAGCACTGGCTTATCAAGTAGAAAAGCTACCAAATGTGGTGGAATGCCACCGGGAGAACAGAAGCATTCGGGGCATAATACCATGTACGATACACGAGCTGCAATGGTTTTTAGAGGTAGGTCATTGATTGACAATTCCTAACTTCTAATTTTCTTGAATGGAAAAAGACAGGGAAGAATATCAAACCAAGTGTACAAACAAATAAAACATCAAACACACTAAAATCATCTGCATTTTTAAATAAATGTATTTTTTTTCCCTCAAAGCTTCTAAGATCTTCCATTTTACTCCTGTTGCTTCCTAGTGCAACATTCCAGGTTCTCATATTCTGTTTGGCACAGAATCTTGAACTAAGAATAGCTATTGGATACAAATATGTAGACTTTATTTGTTCCAAACATTAACAGATTTGCTTTGAAATGCTGAGTGTGTTTTATAATCATACATGAAACTCAAATTATTATTAAAAGTTCCAAATGCAATGTGATTTTAAGAAAAATATATTTATGGAGAAATATATTACACATGTAGTGTGTTTGTTCTTTACACACCCTTGCACCATTAAAAACAAACATATTATTAATATCTTATAACCATGGGAGAATAGCACTGAACAAATATCTATTTTTATTCAGAAGTAATGGAGAATGCTGATATAAAACTTTGCCTGAAATGACTATGCTAGAAATGTTTTTATTCAATACTAATACAAGAAAAACTTTTCTTTAAAATTGAGTTTACATCTTATTTTAGAGATGTGGGATTGGCTTTGTTTTTACTCATGTTGAAAATAAAATGTAACCTTAGTCATTAAGAAAGATAGGGAAAATGATATTTTTCATACTTTGTTAATATTTCACATTTTTAAAAGTAAAATGTATAGACCAGTGTATCTATATACATGTATATTCAGTAGTATGTCAGCTGGACCTAAATAATAATATATATCATGGAACTATGCATCTCATGAAAAATTTAGTTTTTACATTTTTTGAAAAGAAAATTTGATTTGCTATTACTAAAAAAAACTTTTATGTAGTCTAGTAAATGTATTTATTGATATTTAGTTCATAGGCTTTGGTCTGTCCCAGAAATAATAAAAATGAGGTGTAATTTTTTTCAGAAGAAAATCGTCTCATAATCTTTGATCATTATGCCTGGCAGGAAATGAAAAGTTATGTATCTAAAGAAAATAATCAAACTAAAATATGTAAGTTATTTATATCTACAAATAATATGTGCATTATTAAGCATCCAGACAATTATGAATGTAATTACTAAGTAATGCAATCTCAGTCCAGATTCATAATTATGACAAAATACACCAAGTTCTCTGCCTTGCGATTTCTGGGCTACAACGCCTGGCGCTGTGCAGCCCTTCACAGGGAGGCTCAGCTGGTTGGATGGTGCGTTTGCGGGCTGCGCGGTCATTTCAGGAGCACATCGCGCCTGCCAATCACCCCTCGTAGTGGGACTGTGTCCTCCTTCCTCCAAAACGAAAACCAGCACTCAGGACCTTGTGGATTGGAAGCCAGATACTGTTCGTTCCTAAAGCTTCTGCTTTCTGTTCTCCACACACATTTTTTCTAAAAAAACAAAAATGTGTATCTCCAAAGCTTTATGGGAACTGTGATATAATTGGAATAAAAAATAAAATGATCAAGTGAGTACTAGCTTAAATAAATATATTTAATAAATATATTCTTTATTATTATAAAGAATTCATATGTTAATACATGTATGTTTAAATATATTCTTAATATTTAAATAAAGTTCATCAATCCTTTGAAACCACAAATTTGAATATTCTGAATATAGCAATATATTTTTGGCACTAAACCATTTGTTTTCTGAGACATGCCATTGACAGTTCTTACTGTGGGAAATTTATTCTGTAGGAAAAGAAATGAAAACCAGGGGTCACGTACCTTGGAATTGAGGTGGGAGAGCATGGCAGCTTCTGTCTGGCTAGAGATGTAAGCTTTGGGCGTGGCACAGGCAGTGGGGGCAGGGTAGTCATTTTGTACTACAAAGAGAGAAGGAAGGAAGGAAGGGAAGGAGGGAGGGAGGGAGGGGAGGGAAGGGAGAGAGGGAGGGAGGGAGTGAGGGAGAGAGGGAGGGAGGGAAAAGATGTGGTATTTTAAAGATAAATATTTCAAAGAATATTTTAACACATTGTAGCCCTGGCTGGCTGAGCTCAGTGGATTGAGCGTGGGCTGCAAACCAAAGCATCGCAGTTTCGATTCCCAGTCAGGGCACATGCCTGGGTTGCAGGCCACAGCCCCCAGCAACCACACATTGATGTTTCTCTCTCTCTCTCTCTCTTTCTCCACCCTTCCCTCTCTATAAATAAATAAATAAAGTCTTTAAAAAAAAGACGTTAGATCCACAGCCTGCCATCTGAGCTGAGAATGCCTCTCTGTGTAGAGCTATAGCTGTTATTCGGGAATGATACACACACAGTGAGTGAATCTACAGGTTGCTTCTCTCATTATTTTCTTCCACCAGCTGCCTTTGGGCCAATTTATTACTTGTGTACATCTCTACTATGAAGTAGAAAATCTGATAAACGAGTTGAAAATTTAGTCAATCACGAGTGTTCATATGAGTTTTATTAGGAGACATGATTGCAATTAAAAAGTAAAGATTTTTAGGACAGCTACGGGTTTCAAATGTCCATGCTTTGCTTTCCTGTTATAATCAATAATTGAAAATTGCTCATATTTTGCCACTTTCTAAAAATCTGTATTCTTCACAAATAAAGGCTTTCCCTTAGAAGTGACAGATGCCAAGAATCACTCTCAACAAGGAGACAATGCCATGAGAGATGCACAGCTACAACAGTGTAACAAGTCACTTTGAAACATAGTAGTTTTAAAAAGATTAATTAAAACGATAATCATTTTATTACCGTCCATACTTTCTTTGGATAAAGAATTAGGATAGGGCACAAGGGACTGGCTCCACTCCACAATGGCAGGGGCCTCTGCTGGGAAGACTCAGAAGGTTGGGGGGTGAAGGAGAGCAGGAACCATCAGCGAATGTCTTCACCTGATAGTTGATGCTATTATTGGCTGGGACGTGAACTGGGGCTCTGTGCCAGAATATACACATGTGGCCTCCCCATATGGCTTGAGCTTCCTCACAGCATGGCAGCCCTAGACCTCTTACTTGGCAGCTTAGGGCTCCAAAGGCAAGCATCCCAAAGAAAAGCCAGGTGGAAGTTGTGTCCCCTTTGTGTGCCTGTCCTAGAAAGTCACAGAGCATCACTTCCGCTGGGATAATAGGCCTCTCCAGATCTAAAGCGAGTGAACATATAGACCCATGTATTGATGAGAGAGCATTCAAGTCACACTGAAGGAAAGAAAGTGAGATGGGAAATATTGTTGGGGCCGTCCTTGGGAACTGCAACGCGTCCCAATGGAGAAGATAAGGGAGCAATAATAAAGGGGGGTCTCTAACAAAATCAAGTTATCTAAACCTTACTCTGCAGAGGAAGGAGTGTGGAAATAATGCCAGTGGGCACAGAATGGAAAAACTGCCACATGTTGCAAGGGCTTTCAGGTGCAAAAGAACCCACACTTCTACTGTTATCCGAAGAGGCATCCAAAAGGCCAGCCCCTCTTGATTACACCAGCAATATGTCCATCAGTTTTGACCTTGACCCTTAGCCCCCCCACCAAGCAACAGGAAGGCTTGTTTTTTTTTGTTTTAAATTACTTACCTCCAGCATTTACTACCAGTGTGACCGAGAGGAATTCACCATCAATGTGGTCATTGACTATATTTAGCAGATTAAGCTACTCCTTGGTGCCAGATACCGTTTTAGGGGCTGAAAACAGCAGTGAACAGAAATACAAAGATTTCTGACCTCAAGAATTTATATTATGAGGAAAAAACAAAATATGTAGAAGATGTATAGTGAAAATTAAGTAAGGAGCTAGAAAGTATCCAAATGCTCACAGTAGCAAAGAGATAAATAAAAGCATAAGGAGATAAAGTCAAATACATCAGGAGTTTTGTGTCCTGATGGGATAGGATCTTGAAAGTTACTGTAAAAACTGTGACTTTCACTCCAATTGAGGTAAGAATACCCTGGAGGGTTTAGGGCAGAGGAGTGACACGGCCTGACTCCCACCTTTGGAGGATTACCCTGGCTTCTCTTTTACACGTAGCTGCAGGGAGAAGGGCAGGCAGCAGAGAGGCCAGCCGGGAGCTTGCTGTGAAATCCGGGTGAAAGGGGAGGGTTGTCTGGGTAGAGGTGGAGAGAGAGACAGAGTCAGGCCTGAGGTGGAGCCACCTGTGCCTGCCAGAAACTCAATACTCCCCTGTGCTGCAAAGCCGTCGCAGGGGTAGGGGTGGCGGGGAGCAATCAAATGAGAACAAAGGAACCCCTGAAATTCGATGTAGCAACAAGCAGTCTTGTGTTCTAAAAACCAACTCCTACCCTGGCCTGAAAAATAGTTCTTCACTTAACTAAAGAGAAAATTCTAATGCAGATCAGTGTCTTGTTGTAGATATAACACAATCTTAATAAAAAGTCCTAAATTATCCAGATTATCATACGACCCATGAAACATAATGTCCACCCATTTTTAGATAGTTGTAGTTTTAAAGCACACAGTCAAAACAGCAAATGTTAGTCCTCTCCTCCAGAACAAATATTACAAACATATTGTATTATATACTTCATAACTTCATAATATAGTGATTTAATTCTTCTGTAATTAAAAAATATATTTTTTATTAGATGTTATATTAACTGGTTGAGTTGCTTGGATAATCAGAACCTACGAACTGGCAACATTATGCAGAACATGTGGTGAGAAGTTCTGACGAATGTAGGGTTGGACCCCATGTCCAGTTTTCAAGGGACACCAAAGGCTCCCCAGACCTCCCTCCCATGAGCCTATCTCATAGAAACTGTAAAGACTCTATGTTCAGAGTCCTCTAATGTTACGGGGCAAATCTGGACCATCTCAGTTGCTTAACCCTGACCTGTCTATTCCTAGTGGATTTTGAAAGGGAGAGAAGAAAACAATGACTCTTCCTGCTCCAGTCAAGGCATTCCAGCCTCTGTGAGTTAAGTCTGTTCTGAGAGCCCCACTTTGCTTACCAAGGGCATTTGGGGGCAGTGATCACTGCATAACTGTGCTTTAAAACGAGAAAACAGTACTTGTAAGTTCTCCACATACTAGGAGGGTAAGGCTGCTTAGAAAGAGTTGGGCGAGGCCCCAGAAGCTCTGACTCAGCTAATATACCCCATCAAAACGTGTATCAGCCCTCCCTTCCCAAGCTGGGCTACCAGTCTCTGACATCAAATGTATTCATCTGGATGTTTACTTGAGCTAGATTACTTGTGCTAGAAAACATAAACATCTAATGAAATCAAGTGCAGATGCTATAGATGGAAAGGCAGGACTTCTTCATCACACACATCAACTGTGATTTTCTTGCCCCTCAAAACTTAAGTCGGCGTTTCCTACCATTACACTTCAGCTGCCAGTTTCTTCATTTTGCTCTCCTCTGATGTGAGAGCATTAGCAGCAGGAGCACCTTTACTCTTAAATTTAGTTTAATGTAAGTATTGCAAGCCCTGCTGGCAAGCCTCAAGGCACAAACTCTGAGTGGGGGTGATCAGAGCTGAATGATAAAGTGGGAAAAAGTTATTAACTGCATATTGGGAAAAATACCCCTCAAGCAATCTATGTTGGAAAGTTGAAGGTCAGAGTTACAGAGTTACAGTTAAGCAGGTTCTCTTTCTTCTCCAAACCCCACATCCTGCCTTGCCTACGCCTGATGAAAAAGGAGATTTTGTTTTTCAAAATACATGGTCTCATAAGGGTACTTTGTTTTCCACAATAGATAATGTGTATAACTGAAATTTTTCCACACTATTTTAATATTCGAAATGCATCAAATATTTAAAGGGATCCTGTAACTATTTTCTCATCTAAGTAATCACTATCTCTTTTATAAGTTCAGTCTGATTTATGCTGAATTTGAAAGTATTCTAGCATATAGAAGCAGCCAAAGGAAAAAATAAGTGAAAAAAAATTCAAGTATGGTTTGGGGTCTGTTCTTTCAGGGTTGAAGTATACCTATAGAGTGAAGAAAGCTTTTTGCTCTTTGTTAAAATGAGTTGTATTATTTTCCTAGCCTTGGCCAGTGTTCCCAGCTCCTAGGTGATCTCTGACCTTGGGAAGGGGACTGACGGAGGCCTGAGGCGGAAGGGAACACGTCTTTAACATGGCACTTCCTCAAGGGTCTCCCAGCTCAAGACCACTGGAGGACATAACACAAGATGGGAGCAACAGCAGGAAGGGCAATGGCTCAGGTTCAGGTGAATCAGGGAGAAGGAGAGTGACAGGAATTTCTCTGGCTGGTACCAAAACAAGCTTAGCCCCAGGTGCTGAGGGTGAAGCTGAGGACCCAGAGGCAGCTCCCCCAGTGCCAGCAAGTAGGCGGTGCTGCATGGGGCTCCACAGGGGATGAGACAAAGATCAAAAGGCTGCCTGAAGCCATTCCACTGTTGGTATTCAGAAGAGATTTGGTGGATTCTTTGATCTGCTGGTTGGCTCTTATATGGGTTGTATTTAGTCTCTAAATTTGGCCTCGGCATGGAAAGACAAATGAGAATGGAGAAATACAGGATGAAAGGTTTAAGAGTGCTGGGTCAGGCTGGCTGTGTCCCAGTGTGAGTTTGTATCTCTGGCCCCCAAGTAAAATTCTTCAAAGAGAGCCCTCTTGCCCAGTGTCCCAGGAGAGAGCCTCATCAGGAAACACAAAGGAAGGGCAGGCCTAGCGCTGTGGACAGAGGCTACTGGGGAGTGACTATGTCTGAGGCTGGCCACCGGCTCAGAATTCAGCCACTGTGGGGCACAGCAGAGATGTGAACAATAAAGCCACTGAACTAATTTATTATTTGTCATCAACAGAATTCAAAATAAATGATTTTACTATCGACAAAATCATTTATGAGAATTAAAACATTTCATTATGACCACAAGCTCTCTTACTGTGGAAGGTTAAAGAAAACTACAGAAGAAATAGAAATAATTATATTCCTGGAAAGATTTTTTTTAAAATTCACATTTAAAGAAGTTCAAAGAGTCACTAAATGTTTACCCCTTGTCTCATACTTTTTAGAAACTCCTAGCACTCCATGGTAGGTAATTAGATAAGTAGTTAAACCAAATAAATAGATTTCCTACCAACTGATATTTATTGATGGTTAAATCAAAACACAAATCAGAAAAAGTGTTTGAAGTCAGGCCATAATTCACTTGACTTACATTTGGAGGTTACTGCTGAATGTCTTTCCAAGCTACAGACTTCAATTCAGTCTGAAAATCAGGAAGTAATAATAGCAAAGGAGAGAAGAAAAAAGTTTAAAATTAGTTAATAGAACAGTTTCTCTCCCCACCCCATAGCATGGAATAAGAGTTATTTATGCAGCAAATGCCAAATACCGACTTTGTGTTTAAAGGAACTTAAAAAGAAAGTATAGACACTACGGGAGAAATTAATCACTAATTCAATGAAACACCAATACACCTGAATGTTGATATACAGGGTGAGGCAAAAGTAAGTTTACAGTTGTTCATATGGAAAATAATATAATAGTAAATAATAATGTAAGAATAAAAACTCTGTGTTTCCCATACTTGGAGCTGTAAACTTACTTTTCCTGCACCCTGTATTTCCAATACAAATGTGACATTAGGGATAACAATTCGATCTTGAAAACTTACTTATTTGTACCCAAACCGAGGGCATCTCAGTTCTCTTTCTGCTCCTACCTAGTTCTGCACAGGCTTAGTGATTTCTTCCTACATCTGCTCATCTCCCCACTGCCCTCACAGGGTGGACTGGGTGGACTGGGTGGACTGGGGAGCGTGGGCCTCCGCTGAGGAAGCTTGAGCCCCCGAGTCCGTGGACTGATGAGGAAGGCCAGTGGGGGTCAGGGAAGGCACTGCCTGGAAAAACAGCTGCCCGCCTCAAACTGGAGCCGTCCAAGTCCTGCCCCAAGCTTCCTCCCTGCGTCACGAACCTCAGTGGACTGGCCCTGGGGAACAACTGGTTTTTCTTTCCTCCGAAGTATGGCCCCCACGGGTGTCAGGTGCTGGGCGAGGGACGCGCTCCCCACTTCCCGCGGTGTTTGCAGGACCTGGTAGAGCCAGCTGCAGGAAGAGCAGACGCCAGAGCGTCTCCAGGGATACAGAGGGGGCGGTGCCGGAGGGGTTTGGGGGCGGGGGCGGGGTTAGGCTGAACTGAGGCTCGGGATTGGGGCAGCTCCCAGACTCCTCTGACCAGAGATGGGGGCGGAGCCTGATGGGGCGGGGCCCGATGAGGGCTGAGCAGGGCCTCCAGACCCAGCAAGCCTGCTTGCTCCAAACAAGGCTGATTTGAAAAGTAAGACCACTTTCAGAAATTAGTTCACCTAACTCCAGGGCCTGGAATTTGCCGCCCTGAAACATTTCCTTCATGGCACTGTGTCCTCAGTGTTTAGCAGCATTTCTCTGTTGTTGACAGGACTGATGGGCAAACACTCAGTTTGGCATGAGACCCGCATGACCTAATGCCACCTTATCCAGCTAGATACGTTTTTCATTCCCCTCATCCTCAGCCTCTTTGGCAGTCTGAGCCATCTTTTTCCTTTTGTCTCCAGAAAGATAAACTAATTTTGAGTCGCGGTGAACCAAACACTAAAGTCTTCTTTATAGAATCTCCCAGCGACCCCTGTGTGTGTGTATGTGTGTGTGCACGTACACCAGCCCTTCCCCAGTCCAGTTCATCGCTTCACACGGATTCTGTAGGCTTCTGAAAACATTCCAATAAATTATTTTGTCTAAAGTTATCCAGAGTTGATTTTTATTACTTGCAACTACAGAATACTAATTTACAGATTAAGAAAGTATTGGATAATAAAAATGAGATAAAACTTGTTTAAAGCACAAATTAGTAGACAAAGATAATATTAGTTTTTTGCCTCAAACATTTTGGAAGATTGTAAAATTAAACTAAGAAATTGAGCCCTGGCTGGTGTGGTTCAGTGGATTGAGTGCTGGCCTGAGAAGCAAAGGGTCACCGGTTCAATTCCCAGTCAGGGCACATGCCTGGGTTGCAGGCCAGGTCCCCAGTAGGGGACACATGAGAGGCAACCAACACATTGATGCTTCTCTCCCTCTCTTTCTCCCTCCCTTCCCTTCTCTCTAAAAATATATAAATAAAATATTTTTTAAAAGAAATCACATTAAAGATCATGCATAATTATATTTGTTTTTCTATCATTACATAGAGCTTTGATAAAATTCACTTTTAAAATTGAGGCCAAAATATTCTATTTATGAAGTGTCAAGTTATGATGTGTTTTGACCTCACTAAAAATATAAAATATTTCTGAAGTTTAAGTATTTTCCATTTGCAGAATGAATCAGGTGGAGAAATCTAGTCAATATTTATTGATCTTACATGAACAGTGTGTACTACACTAGATATTCTAAGGTAAAACAAAAATCCATTTGCTTATTGATGCTTGCAGGTAATAATTTTTATACTTAATTTAGAGTTGAAAGCCTTTTTACAGATTTTACCAAAATGTATAACACTCTTGTAATTGTCATAAGTGTTTTGCAGTTAAGAGAAAGTAGAAAACTAGCTTTTAGAGTTCAATCAGATAGAGTCAGCCAATAGTGTGCAAAGTGTGCGTTCTCCAGCCACCCCTTGTTTGCCCGGGTGTTGTCAAGGGAAAGGGGTGTGGAAAAGGAGAAGCTGCAGGCTGCAGGCAGGGCACTCAGGCACACCCGAGTTAGAAGGGAGCACGTCTGAAAGTTGGGGGCCCGGGAAAAAGTTTCCTTACAGTTTTCAACCACTAAAAACAGTGAAAATTCTTCAGGACCTACCTTGAAACGCTAAGCTGCTTTGTTTGATATCTAATGTCTATTTCCTTGGTTTTAAATCCAGATTTAGTTGTTTTCTTCCTTAATATATTATAAATCACATTGTTCTTCAATCCAAAGTATACAAAGAACCAACTTTTCATTATTTTTCTGACAAACATCAGTTGGTATTAGAATATATTTGTCCCCTTTTTAGAATCTTCTTACTTTTGTTTTTTTTTATGATGCAAATCTAGCAGACTGCTTAAATCTGCTCATTTTTTAAAATGCCATCTGAATTTGAAATACTATGTGCTTTATTGTTAATTTTACCCATTATTCTGTGCCTCCATACACTGGATAAATCTGCAATGGCAATCTTTTCTACAAGCGGAGACAAGTCTTCAGAAAATAATGTTTCAGTAGTTGTCAACTCTCTTGAAACCTTAATTATATCTGTCCATAATAATAAACATATATATGTGTATGCTTCTATCCAGCTACTTATATGTATAAAATATCATTTATATATATAAAGAGGTATATTAGTATTTTTTTCAGTATAATTCAGAAATGAAGTTTCCCATTTCCAAGGACAAAAATATAATTGTGTATATGCAAGGGGAATTCTAAATCCATGAACAAAAATATAGAATATAATGATATTTTCAAAGACTGTTATAAATAAGATGACAAATATCACATTTGGTAAAATTCTACTATAACTTCCAGTGCAATCTCACAGGGAAACAACTTATTAAATAAAGGTATAAATAAAAGCTGAATTAGAAATAACAGAGGGAAAAATATGGAGTAGCAGTCCTAAGCACTGAACTTGAACGTCTAAATCCATCCATTCATCCATCATTTCAGCAGCCAGGTAGTCTTCTAGGGCAGGAATATAAAGATAAGTCATGTCCTTAGTGAACTCACTGAAGTAAAGACAGACACGCTAACAGACAATTGCTTCTTTGCTTTCAAGCTTTGTGACCCATCTCCACCAGCACCAGAGAGAACGGGACTAAAGTCTTTGTCTTCTTAATGTCCTGAGTCCTAGACCACCACCACGGCCTGTCTCCCCTCCTACTCCCCAATCGGTTCTTAATCCTCTCTGCTCCCAACTCAGACTCACAATTCAGATGTGACTCTCCTCAGGTACTGACCTCAGGCTTCCTACGCATTCGTACCCCATCAGTTGCCTGCCCTCAGCCAGTTGGTAAAACCAGCTATTCCAAAGGAACCTGGTATACAGCACAGACCATGTGGCTGGTTGTCCCAGACCTGAGGTCAGCCACAGTACCACGTGACAAGTGCTGTAAAGATGACATCACACTGAATGTCTTGAGGAGGGACCACGCAGCTGCCTAGGACTGAATGGAAGGAAGTTTGGCAGTCATAAGATTGCACAGAGGGGATAGTACCTAAACATGATTTTGTGTCTTGAAAGATGTATAGAAGAAGTGTACCAGTTGTACTAAGAGGAACAGAATGGCAGAGAACCATGGCTTGCTGGGTACACATGAATTCTAGAACACAGGGACAGAAAACTGTGGAAGATGGGCCCAGCCCCAAAGCAATATAGCGATATAAGATGTTGGGCTCCAACCACGACAATACAAAATTAGACACATAATAACCCATTTTAATTTAGTATATTCAATATTATAATTGAAATAGATGTTGCTTTCATAGTGTCAGTTATAGTCAGGATGTGGGAGAATTATGAATGACCCTCAGAAAACAGAAATAAAGTCATCATTTGAAAATAAAATTAAAAAGCCATCAGTCCTATATGGGTGAAATTGTTTATTTTCAAGAATATACCACAAAGAAGAGATCCTTAAAGGCATAGATAGATACCTGATTAGGCTGTTTGAAATGAATAAGGGTTTACCACAAATAAAATAAACTTACTTCATGCACTTAATTTTGCACTAAATTTGCAGAAAGCATATTTTTGTTAAAAACAGAATCTTACTGGGTTGAAGATTTCTACTCATTCCCTAACAATAACAGAAAGTGTGTCTCAATTGAAATACATAATGAAACAAGGCAACTCTCCACGTTACCTGCCTGTATTTAAACATTAAGGTTGAATGATGAGATGGAGCCCTCAGTGCTGCTGAAGATCCAGTAAACCTCCATTGTAAGTGTATCCAGTAGTCTTTAAACTCGTTAAGGTCCAGAAGGGCACACCAGGGTCATACATCACTGTGCCAACAACACGGTGAAGGGGGAGTAAAGTATTTGCAAGAAACTTGACACCCAAGTTGTTTATTGCAGTGTTTCCATTTCCCCCTCCATCGTCTTTTGTTCCAGAGAGAAAAAGTTGAAAATTGTGTCAAAATAGGAAAATTGTTTTCCAATAACTTATTCTCGTAAAATATTGATGAAATTCATGATGAAAACATTTTTCATTTCTTCCCTGTTAGCACCACCCAAACTATCTAAGCAGATGATTATTTAATCAAGTAACGAGCAATGCACATAGTCAATTCATAAGAAGTTGCAGGTACCACTCAGGGTTGTGCATCAGTAAAAGCTGCCCACAGTGCGAAATCGCTTGCACAAGGGTTGCCTCTGAGACTGGGGACTTGTGATTCTAAAGACCCAGTTGTATTTTTGGAAAATTGTGCCAATAATAGAGTCTACTGAAATATAAGTTGCCTAGCAAAAATAATGTTACGACTTGTAAAAACTATGGAAGGCAGTGGATGAGGAAGAATCTGCCCAGTGTCCTACAGTAGTCTCCGGAGAGGCTGGGCCACGCTGATGGCCAGTTCCAGTTATCTAGCCAGGGGCAGTCCCAGAGCCATGTAATCCCACAGGTGGTCACAGCGTGGCAGACGTATCTCGTAAGGACATCTGACTCCTTTCTCATCCTGGGCTGACCAGTGGACTTTCTATGGTTTGCTGTCTACTGTGAAATAGGAAGCTACCCCTTAAGTTTAACAGTGAGGATTTGTGGCCTTGTCACGTACAGATTCAAACATAAATTGGCAATCTGGTGTGTTAACTAGTCTTTTTAAAATGTTTGGATAATGTAAATATGTTTCTCCTTTCTGATTATTTCTTGGTGAACTGGTGAATATGTGTCTTCCAATCTGCAAAGCTCTAAAGGAGGCAGGACCTAGCGTTTCCATGAAGACTGCCTTCCCATGAAACTCTGCAGAGCAGCTTGCTCCAGTGTCTCCTTCTACCCCAGGGACAGCAACTCAGTTTTTATTTTCCCAACTTGAAAAGACACAGGAAATGATAGAATATTGTGCTTGG